ATTATATTAATTTTCGTATATATTTAAATAAATTTATAATTAATTGTATATATTTTAGTATAAAATATTCAAAAAATTAGATGAATATTCAGCATTTTTTTAAGATTATTTTTCTTGAATTTTCGTATTTAATTTATCGAATTTCTTGAGATATTTTTATCTTATTTATTAATTATCATTATTAAATGCGTATAATTTTATTTTATCGCAATTAAATTTGATAAAATATCTGTCGATTCAGATACTTGTAAAGTGCTGTTTGAGTATGAAATGTACAGTATGTACAGTACTTTTGATTATTTTCATGGCTTCGAAACTTGATAAATTGTTGTACAATTATGAAAAATAATTTTTAAAAAAATAAACAAATTTATTAATTTTATTTATTTATTTATTTTAATTTATTAAATTATTTTTGTCATTTATCGAAAATGGCATTGATCCGGATCATCTTAAATGGGATTTTTCCTCATCTTCTTCATCTTTCACCATTATATATATAAGATAAATGAGATTTATAATGATCAGGATTTATAAAGAAACTTATAAAGTCTTGACAACTTCAGGAGAAAAATGATAAAATACGATTTTTACTGATTAAAAAAAGAAAAAAAAAGCGTTATTGCTTTTTTCATATCTGTGCCATATTAAGGTATAAAATTTCTAGTTTTTTTTAAATATTTTATTGACGTTTAAAGCTTGTTTATGTTTATATAGAGTGGGTGGCCAATTAGGATACTTATAAAACAGTATTTTTTTTATGTGTAAAATATAAGAAAATCTGTTTGTCTGTCCGAAATCTTGTATTTATTACACAAAATAAAGTAAATTTTTACTGTGCCACTAGATACTGTTCTAGGAAGCTCTAAATGTGTTAAATATATAGAGTTTACTGTAGACCCCCTCAATATTTGAGATAAATATCCGAACATTTTAGCTATCTCGCTACGTATATTTCATATTTTTGATTAACATAAAGAATTTTTTCATGTGTATACCTTAAATTTGTAATTAATTTAATGCTTTAGCAGATGAACAGGG